AGAGATGTGTATGAAAGAGCCGTGGAGTTCTTTGGAGAGGAACATGCAGACGAGAAACTGTTTCTTGCGTTTGGGAAATTTGAAGAAAACTGCAAGGAGGTATGCCATTGACGCTGTTACAATTCGAAAAAAAAAGTACTTAGAGGTCCGAATAATATTGATACAGTAATAAAAATCTCATATTGTCGCGTTGTTTTATTCCACAGCATGATCGTGTTAGGGTGATTTTTCAATATGCTCTGCAAATTTTACCGAAAGAGGAATGCCAAGTAAGTGCTAAACGAATGTTCTGCAATTTGTTCTGACTTCAGTTCTTTACTGGGAACCATTATTGCTATTACTGGCACAGTTGTGAGACATTGCATTGAAGGAAGAAAAGTTAACATAATTTGTAATTTTCTTAAGCTGCGTAGCAAGAATTACCGTACGAGCGAAGAGTTTCTTTGCGGAAAAAGCTTTGTCGTTCGCAAGTCAGGCTAGACTTTTTATTGACTTTGATGTTGCGGACACATTGCGCCAAGGATATTTGAATAGCGCTAAACTAAATAATAATAAACGGGGCTTCTGCATGTGAGAAACTATGAACAAAAGACTGACAATAGGAGAGAAACAAACTATTCGAACGCCAGGTTTAATTGTTGTTTGGCAATTTTGACTTTCTGGGGTAAAGTTTTCCAAAAGATGTTTCTGCATGGGCCGTTTTTTTTCGGCCAATCGTGAGTATAACGCGCAAAATATCCAAAAAAAATGAACAACCGGAAGATTGACTAAACAGTCAATCCTGAGTACGCTAAAGTAGACTAACAGTTGAGTGTAGACTTGCCCATAAGCCGATCTGAAAGGCGAGCTCGGTTGTACAAGAAAAGTGACTGCGGTGCTCAAAATACGAGAGCGTAGAGCGAGGAACGGAAGCTCTTCCTTCACAAAGGACTTGGAGAAAGGCTAAGTTGTTTTGTACCATATTATTTACAGGAGTTGTACAAGGCTTACACTCAACACGAGAAAAAGTACGGTGACAAAGGAGGAATCGAGGATGTGATCGTCAGCAAAAGAAAGTTCCAATATGAAGAGGTGAGGCTGATGGAAAGNAAAAAAAAAAGTACTTAGAGGTCCGAATAATATTGGTACAGTAATAAAAATCTCATATTCTCGCGTTGTTTTATTCCACAGCATGATCGTGTTAGGGTGATTTTTCAATATGCTCTGCAAATTTTACCGAAGGAGGAATGCCAAGTAAGTGATAAACGAATGTACTGCAATTTGTGCTGACTTCAGTTCTGTACTGGGAACCATTATTGCTATTACTGGGAGAGTTATCTGATGAGACATGGCATTGAAGTAAGAGAACATAATTTGTAATTTTATTAAGCTGCGTGGCAAGAATTACCATACGAGCTAAGAGTTTCTGTACGGAAGAGACTTTGCCGTTCGTAAGTGAGGCTAAACTTTTCATTGACTTTCAAGTTTAAGACACATACTTGATTAGCGCTAAACTGTAATAAACGGGGCTTCTGCATGCGAGAAACTGTGAACAAGAGACTCACAATAGGAGCGAAACAAACTATTATAACGCCAGGTTTGATTTTTGTTTGGCAATTTTGACTTTTTGGGGTAAAGTTTTCCAAAGGATGTTTCTGCATGGGCCGTTGTTTTTCGGCCAGTCGTGAGTATAAACGCGCAAAATGTGCAAAAAAATAAACAACCGGAAGATTGACTAAACAGTCAATCCTGAGTACGCTAAAGTAGGCTAACAGTTGAGTGTAGACTTGCCCATAAGTCGATCTGAAAGGCGAGCTCGGTTGTACAAGAAAAGTGTCTGCGGTGCTCAAAATACGAGAGCGTAGAGCGAGGAACACAAGCTCTTCCTTCACAAAGGACTTGGAGAAAGGCTAAGTTGTTTTGTACCATTATTGACAGGAGTTGTACAAGGCTTACACTCAACACGAGAAAAAGTACGGTGACAAAGGAGGAATCGAGGATGTAATCGTCAGCAAAAGAAAGTTTCAATATGAAGAGGTGAGGCTGATGGAAAGTTTGAGTTTTGCCAAACGATTACTTTGGATTTAGTGCGCTAGTTTTTGAAGGGAAACTATGTTATTTTGACTGAAGGGAGGTCGTAAACACTGATTTTTGTACCTGGTTGGTCAGAGCTGTTTAGTAGTAGTTTTACGAGGTGCAGGGCTTCATGTAAAACGCAGTTGCCTCTTGTTCGTGTGCTCATTCAAACGATTAACGCGCAGGTCATCCTCGTTGAGACATGAATCCCACACTCGAGGAAAAATCAGCGATTTTTTTCGTAGATCAGGGAATTTTCGGGAGAAATTAACTTACTCTAAATTTTCAATGAAAGGAAAAGTCATGGAGTTGGCTTTTAGAATGAAAACTGTTGCGTCAGGGAAAATGGTTTTGTGCAAGAGAATTTTGGCTACTTTTCGTTTGAGCAGCGTAGCCTATAATAGTAGCGTAGCGTAGCCTATAATAGTAGGCAAAAACTGTTTTTTATTCCGTGAAAAGTCGGGGAATTTTGCTTTCTTCATAACTGACAGCAATGCTGAATTTTACTACCAGGAAGTCAAGACGAACCCAAATAATTATGACGCGTGGTTCGACTACCTCCGCTTGATGGAAAGTGAATCGGACCCAGACTCCGTGAGGGAGGTGTACGAGCGAGCGATAGCTAATGTGCCACCCGCTGAGGAAAAGCGATTGTGGAGACGGTACATCTACTTGTGGATTAACTATGCGTTGTATGAAGAGCTTATTGCAAAGGTAAGTTAAGTTTATTAATTTAAGGAATTTGTTTCGTCAATTAAAAGCACCGTAGTATAATAGCCGACGAAAAGTTTCCTCTGGTTCGAAAATCTGGTGCAAATCCTCTCCAGTTAGCGGCGAAAAAGAAAATTGAGCGTTTTATAGCGGTATCTGAAATTGAAAAACTCAAAACTATGTTTACTTTGTTCTTGTTGTTAGTGTTAACTTTACAAATTAAAAAATTAAAAAAAAAAAAAAAAAAAAAAAAANACAGTTGTGTTCGAAGGGCAAGAACTCGCGCGAGAGCTCTACTCGTAGGTCGCTAAACGCGTGGAACGCGCGAGAAACACTTCCGCGAATTTCGCGCGTGCTTCTTTCGCTTCGAATGGCTTCTTCCCGGACACCACGTATTATTTCTTGTTTCTAACCAAGTTATTCATTATTATTACATTTATTATTTAGGACGAACACGGCGACGACAGTGCACAAGAGAAAATTAAGAAAAAGATGCCTCGACGAGTCAAGAAGAGAAGAAAAGTGCAAACGGACGACGGGGTGAGTATTTTACCCTTCACTCGTCACGCAACCCTTGGTATCATGACGAACCAAAACGTTGCGCGACAAGCCGTCGTATACTGGCCACTTTGTGTTTGTTTAGTCTTCTATTTTGTCTTGAGCTTTTTGAGATCGCAAACTGAAGTTTTAACCGGAGGGTTTTGAAAAAACCTGAACGCTAGAGAGAGAAGGGGGGAGGGGGGGGGGCGGGGGGTAGATCCTCTTTGTGGCAAAAAAATGCGTTTTTGGACAAACTATGTTTGTTTTCGATGTTACTTGAAGTTTGAAAAAGTGTCGCCTCAAAGCCGATAAGAAAGCATCCGATTTTAAATTTAAGGGAGAAAGAATCAGAACTAATAGGAATAACACGGAAGCCATTTTAAGTGCTGCGAGCATTAGATTCGTTTTCACCGACTTCCTGCACGCGATCGATCGCTCCTCTCCCCAGTCCACTGTCCTGAGAAAGAAGGTGACAAGAAACTCAACATTTCACTGGAAGGATCTGATAAGGGACGGACCATTACTTTTGAGGGGGAAGTGGTGGGTGTGTAATTTTCTGGGGCCTTTAGGTTGTGCATGGCTCCCCTTATACGATTTTTTTTTGAGCCGTGTTTGCGGTGCAGGTTTTTTTCGATATGATATGAGTGCAGGCGCAGGATAACGTTCGACTTTGCGCCTGTGCTTACCTCGCATAGCGGCCTTCCATAAAGAACGTTTCGAACCTCTGCGTAGGAGAACACAGCGGTCAAACGTTGGGCATGCGCAAATTGGTACATTTTTTGGCAGCCGCGCGCCAATTTCCCGCGGAAAAATTTAAAGGAAAACATGGGAAACAACCGGTGTCACGCAAAATTTACGAAAAAAAATNAAACAAAATAATATATAAATAATGAGGGAAATGTCATTTATAGGATGCCGATGACCCACGAAAAGAACAATGTCATGAAAATATTTTGGCCGCCTTTTGGTTGCTCCATTGCTCGCACATGCGCAGACGTTTGACCGCTGTGTTGCGTAGGAGAGAGCCCCAGGAACATGACTTTTAACAGACCATTTTACAGATGTCTGCTCAGAAACCTGGCCTTTGAATGGCAGCCGATGCTGGAGGTGACCTTGTTTTGATACAGACCTCACTGCTTTTGTTGCGTAAATCAAGTTGTTCTTATGCTAACTATGGTGTATTTACATGACAGAAGCAGAGGGGTCTGTAGCAAAGCAAGGACCAGAGTTTAATAGAAATTGTTTCTTTATCTTTATTTTTGCAGTCGGACGCAGGCTGGGAAGAGTACTACGACTACATCTTCCCTGACGATGAAGCAAACATGCCAAACTTTAAACTCCTCCAAATGGCTCGAAATTGGAAAAAACAAAAAGCACAAGAATGAATATTTTCGTTACTTCGTCTCCTAGTTTCGCTTGCAGTACAAATAGCACAAGTGATGTACAGAAATAGAAATTAATATTACGATTCTTTTTTTCTGTTGCCGGGCTACAAGGGGTTTTCTTCAAAAAAATAAATGTACGTTCTTCACAACGTAATTGTAAAATGCCACGAATTCATTCATCTGACCTTAAAATACATCCTTAACAGCTTTCTTTTTCGATGGTTCTTATTGGGAATTTTTTCCAGAGTTTAGTGATGGTGTTGAGCGCGAAGTGGAATACACGCTCACTATGTGATGTCAAAAACCAGGAGTCCATGGGCTCCTGCAAAAACTGATGACGTCACAAGGTACTGGGAGAGAAAACCTGGGCACTAGGTTGACAGATCCATTGGATGCTTTCTAAACGGGCAAAATCAGTATTTGACTACACTTACTCGTTCTATTGGTTTATTGTTTATAAATCCATTATTAAAGTTATAATTTATGTTCACATCAGTGAAGTCGAAAGTGATAAAACAATGCAAGGTTTCATCTAAGATTTTGTACTACCTAAAATATACTTTGGGGTTAAGTTACCTAGCAATTCATCATTAAATATCACTGTTTTTCAGAAACTGAAATTACTTTTTCTTGATCATTATACGCGCTTGGCGACCTTTTTTTTATTTTTTAAAAGAACGATGTTTCTTCACTCTGACTACTGTAATTATCATTTTTAATTTGAATAATTAGTTCTTTAGAAATAACGTTTTTTTCGTGCAAACACCCTTGCCACAAAAATCAAGATCTTGTTTTCTGATTATTAACTTGCCTCTCTGCTTAGAAATACATATGCTACAAAACTCTCCTGTTAAAAAATAAATAACCTACTTTTAATCTATAAATATTTTCAGATGAGGTGATTTAAAATAATCAAACAAGGATCGTTATTTCCTGCTTCAGTTCTGCATTATAAATAATAATTTATTACTTCTTTTTACTAAATAGCTACTCGCTGTTGTTTTCAGTATTAGTTCATGTGACATCTTTCGATATGTTTTCTCAATTCTCCGCCCCCAAAAAATCGAGCACAATAATTGTCTCCTCGCGTGCACGTACAATTATTTCACGTGCAATTAGTGCACGTGCGATTTCGCAGAACGTGGCCACTTTGAATGCTCTGCTCAACCTTGTTCCCAGGGTCTCTCATCTTATCTCTGGGAACGAGGTTGTTCTCTGCTTTCGTGACAAACCCGGTTTCTGATTGGCTAGAAGTATGGAAAACAATAAAAAGATGTTCAATATTTGTCAATGACTCCATGGAGAATCAATGGTACGCTAACTAACTAACTGAACAATTTCGTTTTGTTTCTTTACATTTTCTTTTAAACTCTATTTGCTATGATTCACTTTTCAAAGGAAGCCGTGAAATTAAAAACGCCTTCGCAAATCGCGATAAAATTTATCAATCCAACAATCTTCAAAAGATTTTGTTACCAAAGAACTGAAATACCAAAGACCTACTATTCAAACAGAGTTTAGACGGTATTTAAGAATAGTCAAAACCAGATTTCATGAACAGCTACCCTTGTTAAACCACGTTTACAAGCCGTAAAAACAGGTCTATCTGTTGACGAAACGACGTTTGAATGGCGTCTTATTATCCATCTTTGCTGTCCGACCTCAGGGCACTTCAGGCGAAATTCTGGCTGTTATCTGGAAACAAAAACCGGTGATGATTAACCAACAATTTCTCCTTACAAAATCATTACGTTGTAAACTAAACGGGTGGTGGGAATAAAGGCTACCATCACCTAAGGGATATTGTCTTGATGTATCATCGAAATCTCCCAACTAATATTGAAAGGTATATTTGATGATGAATTAGGAGATTATGTATAGTCTGATTATGGGACAGTAATGGATTAATTCCGTGGCTAGACTAGACTTGGACTAGACTTGGACTAGACTTGGACTAGACTTGGACTAGACTTAGGCTAGTCTTAGGAAGTAACGTTTTGATTTAGCAAAAAAACTATCACCTACCCCGAGCAAATTTCTCGGTATGTACCCAGTCTCCCCGTTCTTGTTCTGGGCCCACCACCATTCCCTCTCGGTCGCATCTCCCCGTTTCAGCACCAGTAACTCTTCGCCGTACTCAAAACTCNGTTTGAATGGCGTCTTATTATCCATCTTTGCTGTCCGACCTCAGGGCACTTCAGGCGAAATTCTGGCTGTCATCTGGAAACAAAACCAACCGGTGATGATTAACCAACAATTTCTCCTCACAAAATCATTACGTTGTCAACTAGACGGGTGGTGGGAGTAAAGACTACCATCACCTAAGGGATATTGTCTTGATGTATCATCGAAATCTTCCAGCTAATATTGAAAGGTATATTTGATGATGAATTAGGAGAATATATATAGTCTGATTATGGGACAGTAATGGATTAATTCCGTGGCTAGACTAGACTTGGACTAGACTTGGACTAGACTTGGACTAGACTTGGANGGCGAAATTCTGGCTGTTATCTGGAAACAAAAACCGGTGATGATTAACCAACAATTTCTCCTTACAAAATCATTACGTTGTAAACTAAACGGGTGGTGGGAATAAAGGCTACCATCACCTAAGGGATATTGTCTTGATGTATCATCGAAATCTCCCAACTAATATTGAAAGGTATATTTGATGATGAATTAGGAGATTATGTATAGTCTGATTATGGGACAGTAATGGATTAATTCCGTGGCTAGACTAGACTTGGACTAGACTTGGACTAGACTTGGACTAGACTTGGAATGGACTTGGACTAGACTTAGGCTAAACTTAGGAAGTAACGTTTTGATTTAGCAAAAAAACTATCACCTACCCCGAGCAAATTTCTCGGTATGTACCCAGTCTCCCCGTTCTTGTTCTGGGCCCACCACCATTCCCTCTCGGTCGCATCTCCCCGTTTCAGCACCAGTAACTCTTCGCCGTACTCAAAACTCAACTCGTCTTGCTCGTTAGCCGAGTAGTTATACAGCGCATAAACACGACCTTCGTTAGCCAGTCCAAAGGTTTCCTGTACATCTGAATAAGAAGAAAACTTAAATCAATGTATATTGGGTAAAAAGAAAATGGGAGAAAAGCTTTGATAAAACCACCGTAAAACTACTGACCACTAACCTATGACCTCTATGACTGGTTTAGAAAACCGTGCAAAGCGTTCTAGCCACTCGGAATAACTGTGCTACTTTTTCAACCAATAAGGTATAAAACTTGCTTCGCAGCTTTGCCGCGCTCATAATCGGTCTTGTGTTTTCCCGCACTTTCCAAAGATTGCACGTTTTCCGGCGCTTGCTAGACGGTGCGTGTTTTCCCGCGCTTGTCATCACTTAGAAGTTCTTGCTTCGAGTTCTAAATGTGTTTATACTTGGATGTTGTAATAAGGTCTGATTTCTCTTAAGTCTAACCGTGGACGACATGTATGGGAAACTTCACGAAAGATCCTTACCGTTCAAATATTTCATACAGTTGAAATAGCCAGGCAGACCTCGCTCACAACATTGCAGAGGAGTTTTCTTCTCCAGTGAGGTAGCGGCAAAAATACACGCGCCATGTTCAATTAGAAAGCGAGCCATTTCTGTGGCGTTGTTGGCGGCGGCGCAGTGGAGAGGAGTCCTATATGAAAGGAAATAAATCTCATATCAACAGCCACGAGGAAATAATGAGTAATTATTTGCTGCCTTCTCGGGCTGGATACAATAATGTTTGGCTCAAGGCTTAGAGCGGTTTTCACTTGCGTTTCAAAAAGGAATTGGTTTTGTATTACTACGCTTCATGATTGGCTTAAAAACTCAGTCATGGCAATTTATCCCATCAGAAGTAAAACCAAAATTAACCGTGACTCGCCGGCTCGTTTTCCCGCGCTTCACGTCAGCTACATGTAATTACCTCGAGTTTTGATTGGTTCGTTGGATTTTCTGTGTGCTTTGTGATTGGCTAGAGTGATTACTCAGGTTTTGGTTATACGATACTCCATTGAAAACCGCTCCATGTGGAAATCCACAGAGTATGTTAAATTTCGTAAACTACTCCAAGTCGATCGTCCTAGAAGACTTGGTAATCACACGATAACTTTACGTTATTGGTACTCAATGCTTAACAAATCAGGTGTGCGAATTTTGATGTAAATTGCAGCCACTATGCTGGTGATAAACAACGCAGCTTTAATTTCAGGAACACAATACTCAAAGAAAGGACCAAAATAGCACGCCTGGATTTTTTTCAGTTGTTAAATTTTCTTACCAGCCGTGCGAGTCCGGAGAGTTGATATCGGCGCCGTATTCCACGAGGAAATGAACCACTTCGTCATGACTTGCGCAGACGGCGTTATGAAGAGCTGTGATGCCATCAGTGTTGGGTTTACTAGGATTGTCCACCTGGGGGGAGGGTAGAGGAGAGGAATTGAATTAAGAAATCCTCAAGTATAGTTTCATCCTTTAAACTTCAAAAGAAAGAAAAGCAGTCGCACTATAGAAAATGAAAATGCTGAAATCATACGAAGGAAAACAGAAAACAGCCTTCAATACCAAACGAAAATGAACTGAAAACAGCTGGTGACAAGTTACACAACAGCCACATTAAGGACATCAAAATATCTACTACATATTCTCTATTTTCCAATTCCCCATAATTCACTTTGTTTGCCCTCAAAATCTTCCATAAACTATTTAAAATTTTTAAATGCTCTTGGGAGGTATGCATATTCCCAAGAGCATTTCACAACAATAGTTTATGCAAAATTTGGAGGGCAAACAAAGTGAATTATGGTGACTTGGAAAATAGAGAATTTAAAACAACTTGACATGCAATCAAGAGTTCCTTTTCGCATCTGTTTCAAACTGAGGCTACCAGAATGTGACTTTAAGATTCCTTACCTCGCGAATAACTCGTTTAACTAGATCTAGCTCTCCCTCAACCGCCGCGTCCAGAAGCACAGCGTGTGGATCAAGACTGACGTGACGCGCCTTCTTCCTTCTATCGATCTGCGCAGGTGCTTGAGCCACCTCAGCGGATTCTCTTGTAGCAATATTTCTATTCGCTAATACAGGTTTCGCGTTAATGTCAGATTTCGCCGCAACCGGGAAGTTTTTCATAGCAATCGATGACTGGTCTGATACGGGGTTATGTGACTGCTTAGTAAGTCCAATATTTACGTTGATAGCCACAGGTGTCCCGGTATCAACATCCGTAACCTTAAGCGAAAAGTCTTTTACTGTTTTAATCTCTTTTGTTACAATGTTTTGCCGAAAATGATCACTTGCTGGTGTTCTTTCTAAAAGCATAACGTCCTTGTTATTACTTGGTCGAGTTCCTGTGGGAGATAATTCACTTTTTTGGGATAGCTCCTCGTCAGATGAACTCGTAAACTTTTGCGCAGCATTACTCAAACGAAATGTTTCTTCAGCTTTTTGCAGATCTGAAATTTGTTTCGAGGGCAAAAGCGGTTTAAGAAGACTTGACGTAAACACATTTATGGACAAAGGCTCTCGTTCAGGGTGACTTTTTCTCAAATCACCTCCACTAACCGTTTCACCATTTTCGTTATGAACCCGACCATTTTCGGAATCTAGTCGTCCACCATCGTAATGAAGTCGGCCACTTTCGGAACCTAGTCGTCCTCCGTCGTAATGAAGTTGGCTACTTTCGAAACGAATTTCACTACTTTCGGAACTTGGATGAACGTTTTTGTCATAAAGTCGTTTCTCTTCCGAAGCATGGGATATATTGCTTTCTTCAGAAGATGGGGAGGCTGCTTTCTGCTCTTCAGTCTGCTTCCGACTTTGACTTGATAGTTGTATATTGAAAGACGAGACGACTTGCTTAGCATCTAGGCGAGGTGCTTTTCTTGGCTTGTTCACTTGCTCTCGATTTGTAAGCGTAGTTTCTTTATCCAACCTTTCTTTGTCTACAGATTTCTCGTGTTGTTGTTTATCGAGCGAAGAGTCATTACTTGGTTCGTCACTTTCGAGCAGTTCTTTCACTTCGGGATAAGTCGGAGCCATGTCTCGGTGAAAAAACCTTTGTCGTTTGCTCGTCGGAACCGGCGAGCGTTTCTCGGGAATGTTCGTCGAGTTCCTCGCGGAATAATACGAAGCAGCTGGAGTTACCGTGATCTTCGTAAGCGACGACGACTGACCACGAATGGATATCGAGTTGGAAATCGGGGAAGCGACCTGCGATCGAGTATCAGATGTGTTCGGGCTACTTTGCTGAGAAGCCAGTTTCTTTGCACGGAAAGATATTGGTTTGAAAATTAGTGGCAAGTTGGCGGTTTCTGTACCAGCGATGTTTTCATGAGGCAACCTTTTTGCGTTATCGGTTTCATCATTGTTTAAAGCGTGTTCAGGTTTGTCATCAACGTTTGATTCTAGAACACCAGGCGGGGACTTAAAATCGTTCGCCCTGTTAGAATTTTGCGCAACCCATGGCAAAGGGGCATTCGCTAAAGTTCTCTTGCTTGTTTCGAATGGAGAATCCACTGGCTTCTTTGCCTCTACTTTTCTGTCAAGGCGTGTCTGTGACACGCTGTTAAACATAGCCTCTTGTTGCGGTGTTGTGTTATTGAGCGCGGCAGGTGTCAGGAATCGAAGCCGCGACAATTGTACCTTCCCTGTTTTCACCAAAGAGTCTGTAGCTCTGACTCCCGCCACACTGGAAACTTGTTTGCCATCGCTAATACTAGATTCATCTCTTTCCTTCGCAGCTGTGCCACTAATTTGCTCAGGTTTCGTATCCAAAGCCTTCATCTCAGCAAATCTGAGCGTTTTTTGTGCATCGCTACTAACACTCGCTTCGTTTTGCTTTATACTCATTTCACCAAATCGTTTGGGTTTCGTCCCAGTTCTCGAAAAATCTAGCACGGTCGCCCGCGCTATAGAACCGACATTTTCGTTCTTAGTCGGAATGGCTTCCGATTTAACCAGACGAGTTTGTAATGGGAAATCTTCAGCGCTTCTCTCGCCAGTTAAAACACCACTACTTGGTTTCTCTGGTTTTGAGTTTAAAGGCTCCAAGTCCTTAGTGTTAGAAGATAATCTTTGAAGAGCATACTGATGTTCAGCAGTTTTAAGCCCTTGGAGACCTTCTAAAGGTAAAGCTTTGCTACCTGTTTCTGCGATTCGTTGTTGAGGCGGATCTGAAAGACGAGGAAAGCTATTGGGCTTCTTAGCAACACCCGTGATCGCAAAAATCGCAGTTTTAGCTGGACTGGTAGAATTTGACGAGATAGAGGACGAAGACGAAAGCGACGAGGGTGAACTAGGTCCGGAGAGGTCACCTCCATCGCTGGGAGTAGAACTCTGCGTACTACAAGAAGGTTCTTCACTTTTGAAATCTAATTCACCCAAAATATTCTTTATTTCTAAGGAGTGCGGGACCGCGAACGCGTTCTCTTGCACTGTTGCATTCTGTGTCTCCATATTTTCTACTTCATCTTGTCCGGGTGACTTTATTCTCAAGGATGAAATGTCCACGAACTCATCCATACTGTAGGAAGGTTTTTCTCTCTCTTCTGAAACTGAATGGACAGCGTCAAGGTCAAACATTTCAGGTGCGGGAGATGGTGGAGTTTCTACTCCTTCGGGTGATATGCGGCGCGCTGGAGTAGAAGAACCGTTTGACAATTTTGCAGACGACGCAAACTCTTTGTTAACTCTTGACTCTGTATTGTGGGAATTCCAACGCTTCCCGCCTTCGTTAGCTCCTTCAGCCTCAAAGCGTGACTTCAGCGCCGTCACGCGTGACGCTCTAGGAGGTCCTGGTCCTTGCGTGAGATCTTCCGTGGAAGACTTATTACTTGCGTGACCATCAGAGATTTCTTCCTCTACTTCGAGCAACGTTTCTAACTTCCTGGAGTTACGCGCACGCCCGCGGAAGGAACCAGAAGTAGCAGGTAAACTTCCCGTCGAGTTGGAGTCCGTTTTGTTAGTTTTGTTCGTTTGCTTCGGTGAACTAGCAAAATTACTGTAATCCATGTCATCAAAGTTTTGCTCGTCTGTGGGCGAGGCAGCACCATTTAAGCGAGAGTTTGGTGGGTTGATGTGGTTGTTCTGTGATCGTTTTTGCCGCAAGTCGTTGGTGTATCTATCGATCTGAGCATCGAGTTCAAACAATTCTTTGTGTTTTTCAGCGAGAAGTTGTTTCTGTGACTGGATCTGAACGCTCTGCTGGTGGTTAAGTTCATTCCTTGTCTGAAATAAGAAAAGAAAGAAGAAGAAAAAAAATTGAGACAAGTTTTTCCTGTTCTTTCCATTTTGCTTAAGCTTTCCTTAATGGCTAGCTTTCTTAGTAGCAAACCTATGTTTTATGACAAATTGGAGATAGATAAAAAGTGGTGTGACGCAATATTTGCGTCACAAATTGTACAGCGTAATGTCACGCATTCTCACCATTAACTCCTTCCTAAGTCTTTCCAGCTCCAGCTCTTGGTGTGTTTTCTCTCGACTCGGAGACGACTGGGACCAGCCTTTTCTTTGTTTATCCAGTTGCTGAGTGAGACTTTCAACTTTAGCCACGGCGATAGCCAGCTCTTTCTCTTTTTCCATGAACAAGGAACGAACGTTGTCCAGCTCCTCAGCTTAAACAAGGAAATTTCCAGTTAGCATGGCTTTCAGTTGAGCCCAGCCAATCACGAAAGCGTAAAAATTGCAATGAGGCCCCGTCCACACTACGCCGAAGGAATTTGAAAACGCAACAACTCCCGGCCATTTTGGATTTTTGCTTGAGGAAGACTCGGTCAGGGAAATCAAATGATTCGTTATCGCGATACCTGTATCATCGTTTTCGAAAAGCTCCGCTTTCAAAATGTTTTCCCTCCACACTAAAACGCAAAGCCGGCATTTTCAAATTCTCAGGTTTGAAGAGCGTTTTCGAAAAGCTCCGTTTTCGTGACAGAGTAGTGTGGACGGAACGCCTAGCCGTAGAAATAAAGCTGCGTTTTCAGTCAAATTTCTACGTACGGCGTAATGTGGACAGGACCTAAGCCAACTGTTCCTTTAACCATGGCTTGTAGTTTTCTTTTAGCAATTGTTAAGAAAATGGCCAACATCCAAGACCTACCTAAAGCACTATTGCTAAGTTTGTAAGAGTCCACTTGATCCTGTACATGCCGCAATTCTTTCAGTCGCTTATCTTGTTCATCGGCCTTTGCCGATAACTGCTGTATATATGGATTCTGAGGTTTGCTTTGCGATTTTCTTTTCATCGCCATTAACTGTACTTGTCTCGCTTTCAGCTCTTTTTCTTTGGCTGCGATCTCTTGCTGTTGTCTGGCAGCCAGTTCTTTAAGGTCGTTAACGGAAGTTCTACTGCCACCTAAAAGCTGGAAAAAAAGGAACAAATCACAACAAGAATGATTTGCTAAAGTTTCGTATGTTTTAAAACATTGACTGAGTGCATAAAACATTGTACAATTGACCCAACAGGCCAGTGCTTAATTTCAGAGATACACTCCTACACTGTTAGCATAAAGAATAACCATAAAGTTTCTCCATTGCAGGATTACCCCTAACATTAAGTCAGCCTTTACCCATTTATACCCCTAGTTGTAGAGAGGCAATGACCTTGAGCTTGACCTCAGACTGCCTGATTTCAAGTCCAGTTCTTACACTAACCATTAGTTCCCCATGTACTGTATGATGCATCCCAAATATTAATCAGTATCAGAATTTTATCCTATTTGAATTTCTCCTGGTTTCTGCTACATTGGTATAGCTGCTTCCAAATCTTTCATCTTCCACCTCCCTGCCTTAACTCCATCACCCCCATGGTTGGGGCATCCCACACAGGGGTACAACTTCACTAAGGTGCGTCTAAATTCCCTCTTGTTGGAGAATAGCTCAGTGTGTACTTGGGGCCCCAAGTCAGTCAACCTGTAAGGTGGGAGGTGGAAGGTATTCTGGAGGAGGATTGATGGAAGATTTTAATTCTTACCACATCTCTTGAAAGTGGTGGTTCTTCTTTGAAGCCATTAACTCTCTGAGCTGGTGGTCCTGAAAAAAAAAAAACTAAATCAACTGCCATATAACGTAAATTGGAAAAATTCTATTTATTACAAATTTCTACTTTTAAAACAAATTGTATGAACTGTTACATGTAGAAGGGGCTATGATAATAAAAAGATGTCTGCATTAATGTGATGTTCACTTGAAGTGGGTGTCCACAATAAGTGGGTGTACAAATTATATGTAAGTGGGTGTTCAGACACATAGAGTGGGTGTCCTCATTAAGTGGGTGTCCACATTAAGAGGGTGTCCACAATAAGGGGGTGTTTAAATAAAATGGGTACAGTGTACAATGTACTGAATTAAGACAGATCTTACCATTCACAACTTGTGAATAAGAAGGTGTGTCCTCCCTTGGGCGAAGGTAAAATTTCACATCATCCAGGTCACTACCCCATTCAAGTAGCGTGCTGAGGATCAACTCGTTATCAGGCACAAGGCGCTCTTTAGAAAGAAGATGTTGAAAAGGATTTTGTTAACAGAGTAACAGCGATGAGTGTAATTTGCTTACATTATACATCACACCAGGATGTCCATGGATACATGCCCAATATAGCAGATATGCTGTTGAAATTGGCTTTTACCAAGAGATGTACTGGTTTTACACATCGATAATTACCAGGGGTATCAGTGTTGTCTGCAGGAGGGGAACTGGTTTTCACAGGCGGGCAAAACACTTGGAACAGCTGAACTTCTTTAAAAGAATTTAAAATGTTCCGCTAGATTCCAGGTGGGCAAAATCATCCCCACAGCTGGTCAATTTGCCTGGTGCCCAGCCCTTAAGGAAACCCCTGTAATGTACCAGTCTTTATGTGGATAGTTTCTGACAGTAGAAAACAAACCCTAAAAAGCAGGCAAATACTATCTTTGCTGCCAATTGCTGGTAAAACTTAAATCATGTTTTTTTTTTCAAATAACACTGACCTAGATTATACTGAATGTCACAACAAACATCAAAACAAAGTTCCAAGAACAATGTCACAATTCGCATACACATTGTTCTTCAGATTACCGACATGTACAACGTAAAGTGACTAGTGAGAGACAAATGTTAGTGTTTTGGAGCAGTTCATTAGTTCCAAACCTGCACAGCTTTAAAGAAAAAACAACTTTTTAGAGACCTATTGAATTAAAACATGTACAGTCTTCATAG